TCGCGTTTTGATGGTATCTCTCCAACAAGTCTTGGTGCATTTCGTACAGATACATGTCCTCGTAGGACTTTTGGAATTCGGCATTCATGGTGGCTATCATGATGCAATGTACTTTCGTTGCATCACATTCGTGAGTTTCAAAAACAGCCATTTCACCCGGAGTAGCGATTTCAAGATTGATCTTCTCGAGCTTCTCATCAAGGACATACTCCTTGTCCTCGTAGCGAGCAATCATGCGAATGTATCTTATCCATTCGCTAAAGTTTGTTCCATCGAAAGTAACCTTTTGGCAAAGGCTCATCAATGTGAACAAGCTTGCAGCAGCGTTGTTTGCGTTTGACATCTACAAATAGAAAGGACAAAGATAGATTAGAATTTGAATCCCTAATTACCACCCAATAAGAAAAATTAGGGCTAGGATCCAACAACAATATTTACATATTAGAAAAGGGGTGCCGTAATCTAACATGTAAACAATTTGAAGGTAAGTGAATGACGATTCACTAATTCTACACCACAAAACATCACTTTGACTCTTAGTGTAATGAGAATTCCTAGATTTAGATGAGATTCATTGAACTTTTCAATGGCATGTTTAAATCTCGATATGCCCCTCTCCTTTGTGACTGGGATACCGAGGATCACAAAGTGGGTGTGAATTACCATGCAAATTCACATGGTGCCTTCATTGTAACGATCACCTATTCGATGTGCCGGTAAACCACACACGCTCCATCGAACTATGATAAACAATGAATCACCCTTTGCCACCTTTTCTTAGAACCAATTAGTGTGCCGGTAAACAACACACGCTCCACTAACTTCTTAGCAACGGTGCAAAGTGTAATTTCATGGGATTGCATCAATTCACTTTTCCTAAAGTAACTAGGATTGGGAATTTTGAAAAACATGTAATTACTTTGTATTTCTTATTATACTTTTAATGAGAAGATGAGGTTGCCCTATCCTACCAGTTCGGCTAACGACCCTCCACCGATCAAGCAAGCGGTGGGTGTGAGTGTACACCCATTAAGCGCCATTTTATAGGCAGCAACCTTATACCCACCTTATAGACCGGCTTCGTGAATGAGGCCTACTAACGGTAAGACTAACATTTTAATTATATATATATATATATATATATATATATATATATATATATTAATCTTGTAATATTATATTAGTAGAGGGTTTAAACTTGTAAAATTCTAGAGTTTGAAATTTAAATTGTCCAAATTAAACTTTTAATTACAAAACATAAATTTCAAAACTTGAGGGTAGGTTTTAAACTTTTCAAAACATAGAGGATCAAACAACAAATAATTTAAATTAACATTTGATCACATAATTATCCATATTTGATTTATTTAATTATTTTTTGCAAAATAATTTACCAATTTAATTAAAATAATTAGTAAATTATCACATAAGGAAACTAATATTTAATCAATTGATAAATATCTTCAATTAGGTCAAGGATATACTCAAATATATCAAAAAATCGGATTTATATTGACCTAATATGATTAAGGTAAGTTTCAAAAGGATAAACAACAAGAAATCCCGAAATTAGCTCTTTCTGACGCTCGAACTCGCCGAGTACCACAATGGACTCGCCGAGTTGAGGCCTACTCGCCGAGTCCACTATGGAACTCGCCGAGTTCATTAGGCAGGAACACAAAATTGAATTTTGCAAGCATCAAACAAGTAACCGATGCATCAATTCAATAGAAACCAATCTAGGCTCTGATACCACTGATGGGTTTTAGCCATATGAACATTCCTATGTGCACATACAAACCATAATGCTTGGATCTAGGTTTCTCTAATTGAACATGCATGAATCCAAGACTTATAATGGATATTCTAGCATAATAACAAAAATAAACCAGAGTTATAAGTTTACCTTGAATCACTTGCTTGATCTTCTTGTTCTTGGAGCTTTAGAGTCACAATTGTCACTCCTCTAATGGCTTACAAACACCAACTAGCAAGAGGATGATTTGAGAGAGTGAGGAGAGGACTTAGAAATTGGCCAGGGTTTCCTTAGGAACAAGGTGTGTCGATTTCCATGACCCCAAGGGTCTATTTATACTTGTAATGCTCCTAGGGTTTCACCCTTAAATCCTAATTGGATAACTTAAGCCCAAAGCAATCCTAATCCCTTTATGATAATCCCTTGGACGATTTTAGGTCTATCCTAAGCCATAAAATCGTCCACCACATTATCCATAATTGATTACAGCCTAAAGTATAACTATCACACATTTGACAGTTTAAGTCCTTCTATTTAATTAATCTCTTTAAGTCACCAAATTAATTCCTAATTAATTTATGACTTATATTAATCAAATAATAATAATATTATTCCTTATAATATTTCAACTCTCATTGTAAATCATCCTATCAAGTTGCTATGGTGAAGGCAACCCAAAAGGACCATGCTCAATCGGGTCAAATACTTGCTTAATATAGTTGCAGCCTTAGACACTATTCCAACAGAAATGGTAACTGACTTTCGACTTTGTTCACATTTAATCACTAAACTTTTTTTCATTATCTATTTGACATTGAACTATTAAAATTGTTCACATTTTACCCTTATGACCGGTAACGCACTATTTTTTTTCATTATCTAGGCCTAGAAGCCTTACCCCACAGTGGTTCGTGAGGCCTAACTATTTTCAGGCCCAACATCCTAAGGCCCAAATACCCATTTGACCATGCTGCATGCGTACGTGCGGCGTACATCGCACGTACGCTGGTCTTGACCACTTCAGGGAGATTGACCCAGTACGCGTAGCGTAACAGGGGTACGCCCAACGTACTGACCAATTTCCTTAGAGCTCCTTTGTGACTTAATCCATTAAGTCCTAATGTCCAAAACATAGATCCAAGTCCTTTAAGACATCCTAAACCATAAAGTTACAAACTTTACGTCTCTGCATGAATGGATGGGGGTCAAGACATGATTTAAGTCCTTAAACACACTTTGTGACCATCTAACACTTGCATGGTTGTGGCTTAACCATCAAGGTCTGATTTTTATGGTTATGAATGCTTCCAAGAACTCAAAAGGACAACTCTTATGGACTGAAACTACCATAACACAAGAAATCTCAACCACGGAGTAAGAATGCCGCATAAAGCACACCAAAACTACAACTAAGCATGCAATGGTCAAGTTTGAAGCTTGATACCTCAAATGAGTCAAAAAAGATGCCAAACTCCTGGATCTACAAGCCCCTTTCACATTCTTTCTCCTTCTTCTAACTTCTTCTTATTTAAAACCACCAAAATCACCCAAAAACGCAGCAAATTATCTCATAAAGCATGCAAGAGGTTTAGGGTTAGATTTATACTCTTTAGGGACAATGGAGGTTGAGGGAATGAGTTTTGGGACGGAGTTAATGTCTTTATATAGGGTGCAAACCCTAAAATTTTGGGTTTGCAAATGGACAAGTTACGCCCAACGTACGCAACGCTTCCCCCCGCTTCGCGCCTCAATCATGTACACCATGTGTACACTATGTACGCCCAACGTACGCCCTTTTCTCAATATCACAATGTATTAAACACTTAAATAAATCGAAGGGAAATACCTAGTGACTCGGACGTTATGATAGCTATCTATGACATAATTTTTTTTTTTACAAATTAATTTTTTAAGAAATATTAATAATGATAATTTAATTATAGATTAGCGATATGATATTTGTTGAATTCATTAAGGTTGGATAGCAAAACAAAATACTCCTCTATGACAGGCTGACAAGACAACCGCCCATTGAAAGCCTTCTTTAATAGATATAAAAGACATACATGGACTGTATCCTGTATCCTTGTCTGATAACTTATTAAGCTAATGTTTAAACACATTAACCACATCATCTAATTTCATGAAGACATTCCTCGAAACCATAGGAAATACAAGGGATTGGAAGGTGACTCTGAAAACGGAGGCAAGAAAATAGTCCCAAAAGTGGAAGCCGGTTAGAAGACAAAATTCTTTTTCATGAAAGACATGTCATAATCCCAATCTTAAAAACCATTTCCTCTACTTTACTTTGAGGGTTTGTGATAAATTCGTGGCAAAACATATAATGTAAAAGTAAAGGATCTCCATCTACCGCATGAATATTTAACCACTTCCCAAAATATGAATTCTGTAACATAGTCTTACATATCAGTCTTCCTTCAAGTTTTTCACGAATATCGAAAACCGAGTTTGGGGTTTGCAAGAAAGTGTAAATGATACAAACAAAAATCTTATCGTGCTGCAAATACAAAACAAGTTAAAATCGTATTCCGTAAAGAAATCAAAGAACATTCTAGACATGTTCTTCGCATTCCAGGCTGTTCTTTGTGTTCCGAACAGGATCATCACATTGCGGAACGATTGTTTTTTGTTTCGAATTACTAATTTAGGACATATAATACCCTAACACACATAATTAAACTAGTTTTTGTGTTGTTCCTAATGTAAGGTTAGCATGTAATGCGACTCCGGAACGTATTCTATGCATTTCAGAGACGCTCTTCATATCCCAGACTAACTTACTAAGTATACAAATGTTTAAATCAAACTACTAAAAGTGTAAGAACAAAGAACTTACCTGTAAAACAACGATGTCTCTATGATCATGTTTCATATCTTAAGTCTGAAATGTGTATTAGTGTTAGTGCCCAGAATGAGTCGGAATGTGTTTGTAAATGGAGATCCAAAATGTGTCGGGATATAATCCGAAAAGTGATTTTCAAAATTGAACTTCGGAATAAGCTGTTTTAGTCCGGATGTATATTCCAGACGGTCTTTGATAAGCCAACCAACAACTTATTTTGAAATAGACTCCATTCCGCAAAAATAGTTATTTTGAAAAAAAAAAAAACTATACAAATTATTTTTTTCAATAGTTCACCAAAGTGGATAGGTTACTCCATTTGCCTTGTATTAAGCTCATAAGCATGATTAATTAACTGAAATAGAATATTAAAATCGAATTTTGATTACCGAGAAAGAAAAGTGATTTAGGCGGTTGGCGAGGGGATGTGTGCGAGGTGCGGAATATGCAGATTCCTGTAAAAGGAAAAGGATAATTGATGTGCACGGTGGTTTATCGGGTCGTTAAACCCTCTTATATTGTAAAACCCTAATTCACACATCATATGTTAATGTATTCTAAGGTACATTCATCGAACGGAACTGCTGTCGAAATTGAGCTTCCGGCCACTGCCGCTGTAGAAACAGAGCAGACGGTGGAAGCGCAAGCGGCGCCAAAGAAGGAGGCGGAGCCAGTAGCTGATCATTCAACATGTACGGGTTTTGCTCCGGCTACGACGATACATGAGAAGGTACATTCACCAATGGCTTCTAAGATACATTCAGGGAACGGAACCGCAGCCGGATCCCCTGAAACCGAGATTCCCGCCACCGCCGTGGAAGTGGCCCCGGAGAAGGAGGTGAAACCAACAGCTGATCGCCCAGCTCCGGCTGCGGAAACGACAGTTCCTAAGAAGGAAGATTGCCTGTTTCGTGTTATAGTGCCCGCGCTTAAAGCTAAGAGTATAACTGGACGGAATGGAAATCTCATCAAGAAGATGTGCGAAGAGACTAAAGCTCACATTATTGTATTGGAAGGACCTGTTTGGCATCCTGATCGCATTGTAAGTTGTTCCTTTTGAGATTTCTGCTTCTTTTTGTTTTGGATAAAGTATTTTCGATTCAGGTCATTGTGGTTTTTTCATACTTTTTCTCCGTACCTTGTTCATATGGTAATTTAGTAACATGTTTATTGACCATGGATTTAGCCTTAATGGTATCCGTCATACATGAACAAAATCAACGACAAACATGAACGGAGATCATGTAATAACCCAATCTTAGATTTCCATTGCTTCAAATTAAGTGATGTTCCATGTTCATAATAACTTGCATTCGACCAAAATTGACTGATTGTGCACCCATACATGTCAACCCATGAGCACAATCACAAGCTGAAAAGGTCACATAAACACGTTTCTAGATGACTTGAGTTTAACAGTTTTTGAAAGTAGAGGACTAGGTACTTAGAAAAATAGCAACCAAGCTGACATCGTCCTTTTTTATCTTCATTCTTTTAAAAAAGATACCATATAGCCTTGTTCATATTGTTGATGTATCAGCATTTCTGTAAAATCGCATGCAAGAATTGTATCATGGCAATTTATGCTTTTTGGTGTTAGTTTGTTGAGGACATCGAATTTTGCCTAAATTCTATTATGGTTCAGTGAAGTTTGACCTCTAGTCTTTTTTCTTTTGTATGGTTTTGGTAAGTGCATTAGGCTTATTACTTGTTTTGGAGTATAGTTTAACTATGGTTTCTTATCAATACTTGAAAGTAGTTACCAATTGATGTTTATTACTTTATTCCATTACTTCATTTTCTGCCAATTAGTTTCCCCTTTAATCAATGCAAGATATGTTTATTATTTTACCAATTCATGCAACGTACTTCTTAACCATTTAATGTGACAAATTTACTATTGTTGTAATGTTTTTAGGTAGAAATATCTGGCAAGGAAGAAATAGAGGCACCCTTGTCGCCTGCAATGGATGCTGTGATAAGAGTATTCAAATGTGTTAATGGATTTCCAGAAAATGAGAGTGATGGTGTAGCATCCATTCCATTTTCCTCAATTCGACTACTGTTAACATCAATGCAAGCCACGAGTCTGATTGGGAATCAAGGATCCTCAGTCAATACAATACAACAGAACATAGGTTGTTCTGTTCGTATCCTACCTAGTGGTATAAATTCTTTTCTAAATCGAATGATTATTCATAAATTCAGGAAATAGCAACATACTTTGCATTAATTGTGTATTATAGCTGATAAATTTAAAACATTGCACTTTGTGAATTCTACCTAGTTAGAGCAATGTCATCCGAGTATAAAGAATTTTTCACTGCTATATATAATTTGCTAGATTTTTCAAAGTAGAATGCTTTAAGCAGAGTGCAATCCCTTAATAAGATTTTTTTTAAGTAATGAAAGTAGGATGCTATAATAAAACAAATAAATGGAAGTTCATTAACGGTTTTTGCATTTAGCTCCATAATAAACAAATTAATGAAAGTACATTGCTATTTAGCTCCATATCAGATTCGATATATATGCTTCAACTTTTTAGAGACATTTTGATATCTATGATTTTTTGTGGTTGCTTCTCAACTCACTCACCCTTTGTCGTCAAGAATCTGTTTTCTTTTTATTTTTGTATTGGTTTCAACTTTCAAATACTTATTATTTCCACATTACTTTTTTTCTGCCAGATGAAATATCAACATTATCCACCAACTCAGCTGATAGAGTTGTCGATTTAAAGGGAGAAGGTCTCAAGGTTCTGCAAGCTTTAGAAGCTGTTCTCAAACACCTGCACATGCTTTTGGTTGATCATAGCATCTCTCCTCTCTTTATAGCTACCGTATGTTATTCTCATTTCATCATTTTATTTGAGGGCTGAATGCAAGAAATAGCAACCTACTTTCATTCATTTGTTTATTATTAACACTTCACCAAAATTTTCACAATAAGACATTGTACTATGAAAAATATACCCAATTATAGCATCACGCTTTCAATCTTTTTCTTTCTCATTCAAACATTATTGTTAGAACTTAGAAATATCTACCTGATTACAGCAGCGGAAGTTGCTTTGTATTTGGATGACACTCTTATAATTGGGCAAATTTTTTAACTACAATATTATAATAAGAAGTTTAGAAGAAATCAAAGTAGAATGGTACTATAAAAAAAATCAATGAAAGTACATTTTCTTTCATTTGACACTCTACTGTAACACCATATCATAAGGTTATGTGACTAATATTTTGCTGCCTTATACAGCACAATGCCACATCCACATTAGAAAAACATCAAGTGCTGACTCAGGTGAGTTGTCCTAATCCTAACTTTCAAAAATGTAGGAAGGTAGTTTTGTGTATTTCACTTTCTTGGAAGTATGAAAAGAACAGGGTTAAATGCAGGAAATAGCAACATATGCTTTCAAAATTTTGTTCTTTTTCTTTGAAAACCTTTTTCTTATTAGAACATTAGACTTTGAATTTGGATAAGATTGCTTTATCTGGGCAGATTTTTCAAAGTTCAAATGCTGTGATATGAAGAAAAATGAAAATAGGATGCTATATCAAACAAACCAATGAAAGTATATTGGTATTTCTTGTATTTAACCCAAATGAAAGTTGAGGAATATACTCCAGTAATTACTCAAGCATTTGCAGTATACGTTGTTAAGATTCTTATTAGAAGTTTGTAATTTTGATCGTGTTGGAGCAGGTCACTCAAAGGATAGCGATATCAATACGTAAAGTGGTAGATATCATTGGCATTGGAGGGATGAATATTGCAAATATTGGTCTTAGGAGTGGTGCAATTCTTACAGTTCAGGAGAGAAAAGGTTTACACAAGGAAATTGCAGTTGTAATAAAAGGGACCCACTCACAAGTTAAGACTGCTGGACAACTTTTACATATTCAGGCAAGAGACTCTTTTCTTTCCCTCTTTTTTACAACTTGGGGGTGTTGATGGACATCACATGATGGGGATAAGACTTGGTTTGGTGGCTGTTTCTTTTTGATTTTATTATGGAGTTAATGTGGACTGATATATAAGGTTGTTTCTTTTAGTTTATTATTTAATTATGTGATGCATGTGTAAGTTTAAGTTTAAAAGGATACATTTTTTGTTTGTTTACCAGATCAAGACTGTAAAGGACCGAGATAGACCAGCAGTCCTCAACAAGCGGAATTTTCACCCGCAAGTCGGAATCACAAGCGCTACTAAAACACCCGTGAAAGTGGAACCACAGAAAGAAGTACCACCAGAGTTGCCTCAAGTACAACCTGCAACTCACCAATTGCTGCCACCAGGTAACAGTCATTTATTCGGATATTTTTGTGGTTTCCATCACAATATATAATGGGACCTAAGAACTGAAACTACTAGTTGGCATTGGTAATTTTGCAAATGGCTTGATTTGTTTATGTTGTTTGTGTGTAGGTAAGGAATCAAAACAAAATATGGTTCGATGGAATGTAAACATAGTTAAAACATTTCTTGATGCCTGTATTCACGAGATCACCATCAATGGCTGGGAAAATGGTGGTTTAAAAGCAGTGTCATGGAAGAAAGTTGGGGAGATGCTTAAAGATAGACATAACTTTTCTGTTGATTATATACAAATGATTAATTATTTTTATGGTCTCAAGAGGAAGTACACAGCATGGGTATCACTAAAAAACAAAACCCCCAACATTTATGATCCGTCCACTAACACGTTTAATTTGACGGACAAAGAATGGGAGACTGAAATCAAGGTAAATTTAATATACATTTTCTAAAGTATTTTTTTGTTACTAATGTGTTAAAGTTAAACTATTTCACACAGAAAAACAAATGCATAGAAACATTGAGAAAGGCTCCCTTACGGTTTCCGGATCTTTGTGCACAACTTTTTGACAGTGCTACCTTTTTTCAAACCGGCCCATCAGGTTTGTGTCCATTTTTCGTCACAATATAGAATGGGACCTAATTCATGGAGTAAATTTAATTTTGTAGTAAGACAATAGAATTATAACATTTTATTGGCAAAATAGATTATATTCCAATCATTGCTATTGGTTTTACATGTTTATGTGATTTTGTTTTAATTATTTCTTGCACAGTATATATATATATATATATATATAAGATTTTGATTTGTAAACGAAAATTGTATTGTTTTTCATGTGTGATCTTTCAGGTGAACCTCAAGCAGCGGTGCCTCTCATTCCACCATCATCCGGATCCGAAACATCACCGCTGTTAGCCGCTACTGAAATACCACAGGAAGAAGGGATGGCGTGTAACTCTTTGGTTAAAGTACCACCAGAGTTGCCTCAAGTACAACCTGCAAGTGAACTCAAGGCAGTAGAGGTACCACCAGAATTGCCTCACGTACAACTTGCAACTGCACTTGAGTCAATAGAGACTAAAGCCGTGGGGCCCGTGGTGCCTGTTTGTACTGGTGATTCGAATGTGGTTGAGGAGGTAATGGAGATGGAACCCCAAGTCACTGCCACCCAATCAGGTAACCGTTTGTGTCCCTCCTTTATTTGACCATTTCTCGTCTCCATAAGTGATTATGGTTATCATCTTCATTGCTCATCACAGTATAAAATGGGACTTATTGATTGAAATTCAAGAAGTTTCTATCTCCATTGGCAACAACCTAGTTATTGTGAAAATGCAATTTCTGTATGCTACATTCGCGGAGTAAAATTAATTTTGCAGTAATAGAGTGTAAGTTTAACATTTGCTATGGGATTGACCCAAGTAAGTTGACTAAACGTATTTGATATGAAGAAAAAGATTAATGCAAAATAGACTATCAATTTCGTCCCAAGTGAACTTTTAATCACTGATAATGGTAAACTTTGCATTATTGAAGAAGTTTTCTTCAGTTTTTGTACCTTTTGTTCCATGATGGTAAACTTTCCATAAATACCAAAATTGACATACATTTGTTTTAGGATTTAGTAGGTGTTCTCTGTCTTGTAAAGGGTTTGATTTTTGTTTATGGGTTGTATTTATGGTCAAACCACAAGCACAAGATGGCATTATTAATCTTGTAAATGGTACCATAAGATTTGTTTATGCTCATGTTCATCTGTTTGAGTGTAGGTGTGGAAAGTATCGAGGAACCAAAACGAATTAGGGTTAGTTGGGAAAACATAAATGTAGTTAAAACATTTCTTGATTCATGTATTCATGAGATCACCATCAATGGCCAAGAAAATGGTAGTTTAAAAGCAATGTCATGGAAGAAAGTTGGGGAGATGCTTAAAGATAGACATAACTTTCCTGTTGATAGTAAACAAATGAAAAACTATTTTGATGGCCTCAAGACCAAGTACAGAGCTTGGGTATCACTAAAAAACAAAAACAAATATGATCCTTCCACCAACACGTTTCATTTGACAGACAAGGAATGGGAGATTGAAATCAAGGTAAGTTCCTTATTGATTTGCTAAAGTATCTTTTTTGTTGTTGTTGTTTTGGTTTAAAATTTGTTAATTTATTTCATACAGAAAAATAAATGCATAGAAGCATTGAGGAATGCACCCCTACCATTTCCAGATCTTTGTGCACAACTTTTTGGATCCACGGGCATTAGAAGCTGGGGACTGGGTTTTGCCAAACATAAACCAGAGACCAACATCCAAAAGGACACCATGTCTTTAGCATCGCCATCCTCATCCATTATTATTAAAAACAAACAAAAAGATTCACAGTTTTCTTCATCTGGGCTTCCGTGTTTTGGGGCTTCTTCAACTTCACCTTCGATTTGGAATACGACTACTGAGGTTAGTTGGCCTTTTTCTACAAGCTGCTTTGGATCATCATCACCAACTACAATGAATACTGCTACTAAGACTCTGTCACTCCCTGCATTTGGTGTAACACCTTCATCTAGTACTAGTACTACAACTGCTACTCCTGCATTTGGTGTAACATCTTCTTCATCTATTACTACAAATGCTACTGGATCTGTTACTCAATTCGCAAACCCTACTACTACTGGAACATCAAGTTCCTTTTTGGTATCTAAAACTGTAGCTGCTGCTACCCCACAATCTACAGCTGCTTCATCTTTGTGTGGTACTTATTTGCTTCTCCAAATCTGATTATTTTGATTTCATCATGAGTGATCGATTTGTTCCTGTTTGTGTGTAGGTATGCAAAGTATCAAGGAATCAAATCAAAATAAGCGTCACTGCAACAATGCTAGAAGCTCATCAGGTAACATTCTACTTTGAATTCTTTCTATAACATCGTTTTACTTTCAAAATTTTCTCATTAAGGCATTGTACTTTGTAAATCTATTCAGATGTAGCATTATACCTTTATCAGTTTATTTATTTTATCAGTGAAATTTGCTTTCTTTCTGCATGACATTGCTACAATTTGGTAAGCATACTAGCATAGTAATAACCAACACAGACACAGTTGAACTACATCTTTGGAAAACAATAATAAAAAAAAAGTCTGTCAAAGATATTTGCTATGATTTTATGAACAAATCAAATCTGCAGAATATATGTTTTCAATGTCAATTTATGTTAATTTTTGTTTTCCTAGATCAGGATATAGAAGCTGAATTTTAGGATAAAAAGCTGTATGCTTGCTGCATCTTAGAGAGCTTGTATATTTTTTAGTATATATTATGAGATAACAGTTAGGAAACAAAAAGATATGAAATTACATTACTCTGTATCAATGTGTTCATAATTTCTGGCATGGTCTATAAGTGGCATCATTGATCATAAATCACAATGAAAATTTAAAAGATAATATCAACATATTGGCATGCTTTACCATTATGGCTCTTTTGCCAATCCAGAGAATAAGTTACACCATCAGATGCATGGCTTAATTTTCTGAGAGTAGAAAAAGATTACCTGAAATGTAAAAATTCAACTCTATGAAAGACACTAAACATAGCAACGTACAGGACTTTTATTTATTTGTTTATTATAGCACATTTTCCTTTCATTTCTTTTTATGACAGCATTGTACTTCCAGTTTTTTCTCTTATTAAGCCATTGTACTTTCATAAAGCTAGTTATAGCTTTGCACTTTCAGTTATTTTCTTATTACCACATTATACTTTGGAAATTTTACCCAATTCTTAGAGCAGTGAAAGTTTGTGTTGTCTTTAGATGACATTGGCATTGCTATAAATATAATTCAGTAAAGATTTTTCACAGAAGGTACATGCATGCTGTAATTAATATGAAGAAATGAAAAATAAACAAATTGATGAAACCACCTTGCGTTTAACCCTTTTGATGTGTACAAGAAATTTGTATTGTTTTTTATTAGTCCTGCCTTTACCCGGTAAAGAACTGATAGTTAAAGTACCACCAGAATTGCCTAAAGTACAACCTGCAAGTGTAGTGGCAATAGAGACTAAAAGGAGGATGTCGGTTTTTGAAGAAGAAATATTGAGTGTCTTGAAGATGATAGCCCATAACATCAACAACAAACCAGAACCTCCTCCAAAACCAACATTTGAAGATTGTGAAAAGAAGTTGAATGAGCTTGGGTGGCCCAAAGATGATCCGTTGCACCTAGTTGCACTCACCATTTTTTGTGACGAAAAAGAGAACTATAGGGAAATTATGGATGAAATTAAACCCGGAGAGGTGTGCTAATTGGGTTCGAATTATTGGACGTAGTAAAAACTTCCTTTAGTCATTAAGTCTACGGTATAGTTTGTTGATGGGAATGTATAAATGTGAATATCAGTTGGTATATATAGCCATTTTGTTAAAACTTCAAAACAATACCACTTTTATTAAATGGATCCACCATTTTGGTTGGTATTTTAGTGATTTGGATGATGTGATTTAAAACTGTTTCACTAAAACAACTAAGACGTATCTTATGGATATGAATTACCTATAGTAACTCCCAAGTATTTTTTATATATAACCGTTTGTATATACACAACCTTGAAGATATTGATTTACGAAATATGCTGTTTAATTTGACCTTACAAATAAGTCTTTAAAAGTTCAAACACAAACAATATTTAAACAAAATAAAATTATTTATTTATATTCAAACAAAAACATTACATATTAAAATAGTTGACTTTCTTATAAAAAGAAATAAAAGCAAAAAGATGCTTCTTTTCGTTTTCAAACCTCGTCCGGGGACTCGATGAGAAAATTTTATCAGTACGGTTTTGTTCAAACATACAAACTCACTACTTTACATCCATGCATCAGCAGATTACCCAAAACAGATGAACGTCAATGGTGCCCTCATCGACAACAATTATGCAGATTGGTCTCAAGAGATGATGAATTTTCTTTTTGCCAAAACAAGGTAGGCTTCATTGATGGTTTGATTCAAAAGAAACCTGGTAAAGATTCTCATATGGATGCGATGTGATGCTATGGTAAAGGGATGGCTCACAATGGCGATGGAAAATGACATCATGGTTAGTGTGAAGTACGCCAATACGACTTCATAGATAGGGTTCGATCTACTTGAAAGGTTTGGAAAAGAAAGTATCATGAGTTGAAACATGCACTTACTACCACTCATCAGAATGAATCTTCCGTATCACCATATTACACTAGGTTTCGAGGCATCTGGGACGAGATGCAGGGGCATCGTCGATGCCCCGATGCACTTGTAGCGGCTGCACCTGTGACATTGGAAAGAACCTAAGCCAACTCAAAAAAAAAAAAAAAAAAAAAAAAACTTTATGAGCTTCTCATGGGACTTGATAATGATTTATCTATCATCAGAACCCAGATATTGGCAAAAATCTGATCCCTGCCCTTGGGAATGCCTATCACCTCGTTCCAGAAGAAGAACGACAGAGAGCAATATCCGCCAATAAGAAACCCACGACGGAGGCAATGATTTTCAAGACCAACATATATGGACGACGTGAGGAAAATCTCAACCAAAGTCATGATAAGCCAGGACCAAAAGATACCAAACCTAGGACCAAAAGATACCAAACCTAGTGATGTCACTGAACATTGCATTTTTTGTGGAAAAGACGGGCACTCTCGAGAAGGTTGCTTCAAAATGATATGATATCTCGAGTGGTGGCCAGGAAACCGAAAGCGACATGAGTCGAAACCCAAAGCAACATGCATTAGAACGGGTCCTAGTCCTATTCTAGGTTTGACGATTAGCCAATATGACACCTTCTTCAAGCATTTTGAAGAAAACGGGAGGTACGATCAAATATGACACCAAACCATAGGCTTACATGAAAGGTAAAGGGGACTGTGATGATGATTGGGTAGTTGACTCGGGCTCCACCAAACACATCACCATGATGTCAATATCCCTGAAAACAAAACGAAAAATCATTTTGAAAAATATGTTCTTATTCCCAATAGGGATGCCATACCCATTGAAGGAAGAGGTGAATACACATTATCAGGTGAAACCAAATTAAAAGGGGCTCTACACATACCAAAATTCAATTGTAATGTTTTATCTGTCAGTAGAATAAGTAAGGACCTCCATGTTGGATCTATATGCTCAAGAATCATTATTGAGTGATATTGCTAATAACATATGATCCTATAAGGTCACATCTTAATCAAGTTGGTACTTATTGAATATTTATTAAGCATTTGATCATTAATAAATAAATTCAACTCTTGTATTTAGTTAAAGAAAAATTATTTTTTTTATGAAAATAATAATAAAAAAGGAACCAACTAGTTATTATATCATATGGTATGATAAATAAGTCATGTACAAAGTTTTGGACACTTTGGCTAACCATGACTTAACTTACTACTTAATGTTTTATGGTTGAAGAAACTTTGAGACAATTTTTGTCTTTTATCACCTCATGGCCAAAAATATAGAGGCATGAAAGGTCGCTTTTCAACCTCCCTCCTTGTCACAACTAGAAATTTTATGTCTTGTAAACACTATACTCAAGTGAATGTGGAAATCAAAAACTCAAAAGCATGTATGATGCTTACTCAATGGAAAACTAAACCCCAAATTCACTACATCAAGCAATTGGAAAACCCTAGAAGTTCTTGTTAAGTCCATTTTGGACTAGAACTTCCTTATTGGATCCAAATGGACCAACAAGCTTCCAATTGGACTATCATGGGTTTAGAACCCTAATTTGGCTCTAATTGGACCCACATTCATTTATTTCAATATTATGGGCCATATTGGGCCTAGAATGAAATAAATTGAAAGTTTTGATCCATGATTAACCCAATCTAGCTTATTAAAACATAAAAATCACAATTTTATTTTATAGGCCAATAAATACCTAAGACTAACTCTAATATTGGGCTTAGGAGCAAAAAGCCCAAATTTTCCTTTTTCCTTCCATGTTTTCGGCCCAAAACAAGCCCAAGAGAAAGGTTTGACTTTCTCATGCCACCTCACTATTAACTAAAGGACTTCCATGCAAGAAACTCATATCTCCATGCAAACCTCACCTCAAACATCATTTCTTCTCCTCTCTCTCTCACTCTCGGCCGAACACAACACACACACACTCACAAAATCCATCCCATTCTCTCTAGATCACTCAAGACCACTCCTTCCTCCCCACTCCAAAAATCTCGAAAATTAAGAGCTTTCAAGAGGATCTTGCAAGTTAGACATCATCTAAGGTGAGGTTTTGCTTGGATCTATGACTTGTATTCCTTGTTTTATCAAAATCCCTTCCTAATCCATGCAAAAATCGTGATCTTGCACTCTAGAAAACTCCATAAACTCGAAAACTTCATCAAGGAGTGCAAAGGCCAAAAATCACTTCATTTCTTCCATTCTTTCTTCAAAAACCGAATCAACACCCAAGGTGAGTTTCATACCCCCTTATTTTCGGTTTTTATAAGTTTTTGTGGGGGAGAATACAAGCAAAGGTGTAGATCCATCATTATGTGTATGTTGTGGTTGATTTCTATGCTTATATGTATGTTTTGTATGATTTTGATGCTAGATCTAGTGATGAAATACTAAAAACCGAGATATATATTTTATTCTAGCATAAAATATACTATTACATGCAAAGTATACTAAGAAAAATAGCCAAATGGCTTGACAACACTTATTTTGGGCTAAAAACTCATTTTTTTGACATAAAATGTTAAAAATACAAAGTTGAAGGGTCTAAAATGAAATATTTCGAAATCTGATGGGTGAGATGAGTCAAAACAGTTTACATAATGCATTTTCTGAAAATGTACTATTTGGAGGGTTAAAAACATAAATTCCAAGCTTATTGGGCTAAATATGACATTTTCGGCCCAATGAGGCCCAATATGCGAAATTTTCTAATTTGGAGGACCAAAACTGCATTTTTCTGTAAAACAGTGGACTATAAGTGTTCCATGTACTTTTCAAAGGTTTAAAATGCTTTTCAAATTTAAAAAGGACCAAAGTTGCAAATTTTTTCCAAATTGGGCCAAAAATGTAAAAATTGCGAAAAAGAGGGGTTATAACCGAGAAAACTGCAATTTCAAGGACTTAAGCTGTTTTCTATGAAAAATATGCTGGAAAATACTTATTTCAATAATTTTTGGTGTTAAAATGTCAAGAAAATTGATTTAAGGACCAAACCGGAAAGTTTTTAAATAAAGGGGTGAAAAGGGTAAATTTTACAATTAAGGAGGGACTGAAAACAGAAAATTCTCAAGGCTAGTTCAATACATGCAATTTGACCAAATGATGGTACCACGCCTATCGACGAAATACAATACATTACAATACCAAAAGTCGTTGTCAAACGAATTGGTTCGGTCTCGAACCAATAACAATCCGAAACTACTAACACGACGACACTATGACATTACGACATTACGATTCATAACTAATAACGATTGGGAAGTCACTATACATGCGAGTGTGCACAGACGTCTACGCACCATCTTTGGGCCCCAAAAGTGTAAAATCTTGTTTGTTGAGCCTAGCTAGCCCAATGACCTGATCTTAAGGCCCGAAGACCTCTCTCTCTTACGAAGTGTTGGGTTTTACCGATCCGACATAACGTAAAAGGACTTTCAATGGCAAACATGCTGCTGGTCCCCAAGGGTCCTTCAGTGCTGCTAGTAAAGTCTGTAACTCACGATTGCGGGTTGGGCTTCGGGCCCTTCGCAATTGCAATGGTCTTGAACGACGCGGGGAAATACCGAGGGTTTCACACCTTCTTTCTTCCCTCCGGTCGTGGGACTACACAAGTCCGGGAGGATTGAGTGGTGTGAAGAATTACGAGTGACGCCTAAGGGATCGCTTGTAAGGTTGTCGATTGGACGTTTTCATTAACGCACGTCACAACACTTCACCACCCACTGTATTCTCAATGCCTCCGGAGCTCAACGGTTTCCTCTAACGCAACGAAACAATGGTACACAAACTAAGTAAAGCAAAGTGATAGGAAAACGTCGGGTTTTCCTAGGGTTTTCAACAAGTACAATTACGAATTACCGGTCGAATTTCACAACTCTTACGCTTACATCTATAGAATTCAAACAAGCATACTCATGGATCATCACATATTTTTACACTATTCTATTTTTAGAAAATATCGGATTTTCTGGTGGTTTTCAAAACGATACAAACATTGGATTTCAAACATTACTTATGAACTCACCAACATTTCATATGTTGACGTTTTTCAAAATACTTGTATTCTCAGGTAACA